ACCTTTAAAGCCTCCCTTTCACTTGACTGCTGTAAACTGGAAACTTTAGAAATCAAAGCAGCTGGTCTTTCCCCTCTGTCAAGTTCAAGTTGATTGAATTCAGTCACTATACAATAAAAATGGCCAAAACCCAACTCCTAAATCAACCCCCAAAAAACATTTTGTTCCTCCTCAAGAACTTTCAGATACGTTCAAACCAGGAAATAACAGTAATGTGTATAAACAAAATACAAACTTCAATCGTGGAGTCTCTTTAGCTTCATAGCTTCAAACTACGAGATTTAAAAATTGACCTACTTTATGTAATACTCACACAGCTGAGTCATCACAGTATCAACTGGTCTCTATCAGCTGCAGAGTACGATAATCACTGAAAAGAAGCACCCATAATGAAATGCCTCTTCTATTTTATTATTATGCTAAAAATAAAATGTTTATCTAACAGTCCAGACTATAACTGGGGAGGGGGAGAATTTTTAAGAAAGTTGGAACTGCATAAAGTGGTCCCTATAATGCAGATGCCATGCCTTGTAGTAAAAACCTGTAAGCTTCAGGATAGAATATTGGACAAGGCAGCAGAAATACAGATTAGTTCCAACTCTGCCGCTGATACAGCACGTAGCTCCAGGCAAGTAATTTAGACTTCTTTCTTTTTCATCAAACAATAAAATGGAGGGAATGCTACTGCCTTACAGGATCAGCTGACGTTTATACCACACTTTAGCATATGCATAACATTAACTGTTACTTTACATCTACAGAAAAGGCAGGGGTAATATGTTTTTAATGCTGGCTTAGTAGGCCTCATAAGAGAAGGTGGAAGTGCTTAATGAACATTAGAAACTCTTCAGAGGAGCCTTGATTCGTTGTAATTCACTCTGGACAGCATATTACACAGACTCCTGGCTTGCAGTCCATCAGAGTGAGCAGGAGCCCATTAGTATCTCAGGGCAAAGCATTTGTTGATAGAAAATGTTCGTTTAAAGAAAAAAAGTTTTTTAATTACTAGTTTCTACTTATGCACTACCCTATAGCCACTTACAACATAATGCTGTAGTCTCAAGAGACCAGGAGGAGGTTAAGAGGAACCCAAACGCAGCTCTCAAGTGCAGCTAGCATCCTTAACTTAAGTTTCACATAGAGAAGGAAAAAAAAAAAAAAAAAAGACTTGAGTGTGCTACGCTGCTGGAATTGTTACTGCCAGCCTGAAAGAGACCTAACACAAGAAAGTCCCAGAAGGTGATGTGAAATAAGATGCAATGTACACTGAATACTGCCTCTGCTGCCAACGACATATTTACATTATTTCTTGTAGGAAGTGGTCAGACTTAAAACCTGCTGTCAGTTGTGGGGCTGCAGGAGAGAAAGTGCCCAGAGTCAGGCCCCTGCACAAACACCCCTGATGCTGAAGGAGGTGGTGGTGCTGCATGGTCACCATCTCCCCCAAAACTCCCTGAGCCTGCTCCAAGCACAAAGCCTGCTGCACTCACAGGAGCTCTCCTCAGATGTCTGCAGCATGTTAATCCTACCAGGGCCTTGTGGGCCCTCTGTCTGAGGGGCTTACCAGGCCATCGGTAGGTGAAGCATGTCACCTCATGGCAGACTACAGGACTTTTACTTCTAGAGGACAAGGAAACGAACCACACGAGGCAACAGTACTGACATTACTCTTTAATTGTATTTTGCCATCTGCTACCGTGGTAGAACCGTGCAGATATTTCAAGGCAATAAACCATATCTGATGCTCTGAGACCTAAGCCAGCAAAAACAGAAGATTTGCTATTCAGAATCACAAAAACGGGCAGAAAAACGCACCTGTGAAATTACGCTTAAGACTTCAAAGCTTTTCATTTAAGAACTATTAATTCCAAGCGCATACTGAACGCAGTCTGGCTTCTCGGCGGATGCTTTACAAAGCTGTCAGTTTTCTGAGGCTTGAGCCAAAAGGCAATATTTGATATGTAAAGATGTTTGAGAAGGAGGAGGGTAAAGTGAGAAGAAAGAGTTGTATGAGTCAGCCATGGTTCTTTTAAAAATTAGGTGATAGCGTTTTCAAACCACAGGAAAAAAAGATGCATACACGGATTTCCTCATTCCTGGGTTACCAGTCACAAAAGATAACGCTCCCAAAGTTTAAGAGAACTTTCAATTGCGACCACTTACGGAGTGGGGAGCCAAGCCCTGCGATGGCAGCCCACAACACACAGGCTTTACTCCATTGTTCTCACCACCTTCTTCTTTTCGGAATTCATTTTGCAAATGCCGAAAAGAAGAAACGGCAGCATCAGCAGCCTGAACAGGCTCTGCTCCCGACACCACAAGGACAGATTAAAGCCAGGTTGGACGGGGCTCTGAGAAACCCGGTCTAGTCGAAGGTGTCCCTGCCCACGGCAGGGGGCTTGGAACTGGATGTTCTTCAAGGTACAGCCTTCCACCCCAAACCGATCTGTGACTCTTGATTCTATGACAACCCGCAGCGGTACGAGAGGAGCGGGGCCACAAAGCACCGCTTGGTGCCTGTGCGGCTGGGGGCGGGCAGGCAGCTCCTCACGGCGGGGCATCACCTCCGCGCCTGAGGGCACCAGGGACCCGGGGCGGGCGGCAGGGCCTGACACCGGGACCATTGTTCAGGGGAACAGGCAAAGCCTGTGCTGGCACGGGCGAAGAGGAGGAGGAGGAGGCGGCGACGGCCGCGCTCCGCCGGCTGCCGTAGCGCCCGAAGGTCACGGGCAGGAGGAGACGTGCCACCACGCGTGTCGCCACGGGGCGACGTGACCGGCGCTCCCCTCCCACGTCGCAGCCCGAGGCGGGCAGGGCGGCCCCGCACCTGCTCACCTGGCCCGGGCCGCCCCCTCCCTGCCCCCCTCAGCCTCCCACCCCCACCCCAGCGGCGGCACCGAGAGCTGCCCCGGGGGCTCCTCCCGCCCCCGCCCCGGCTCTGACGTCACGGCGGGGGGGGGCGAGCCGGAGCGCTGGGGGGGGCGCCGAGGATTGCGCGGCGCGCAGGCCCGTCCCTTTGTGACGTCACGGGGAGAGGGGCGAACCTGGCCGGGCGGCGGCGTGGCCGGCGGCCCGCGGGCTCCGCCACTGCCACCGCAACCTGTTGCTGCCGCCGCCGCCAGCGCGCCCCGCCGGCACCGCCGCCCCCCGCCAGAAACGAAAAACGGGGAGGGGGCGGGGGGGGAAAGAGCAGGGGGGGGAGAAGGGTTAAATGAAAAGCGCCGCCGCGAAGTTGTGACCGCGGGAGCACCGCGGCACATTGTCCGCCCCCGTCCCTCCTGCCTTCCCTCCCCCGGGAGCCGCGCTCGCACCCCCTGCCCGGCGGTGCGGGAGCGGCGCCGCATTGTTCGCCCCGGCGAGCCCGGGGAGAGCCGGGGTTTGGGGCGATCTCTCCCTCTTCCTTCCCCCCGCTCAGCTTTAATTATTAACACCGCGGTTTCCTCCCCACCACGTCGTCCCTGTCCCCCCCCCCGCCCCGCTTTTGTCTGCCTGCCTGGGAAACGTGGACGCCTCGCGTGTTTCGCCACACTTTCCACCCGCCGTTCCCGTTTTCGATGCCATAGTTTAAACTCGCCGGCCCCGGGCTCCCCTCTCCTCTGCAATGCGGATGTATTTTAATTCGGAAATTTAGGGGGTGCAGGAGGGGGTGGGGGGAAGGAGAGGGGGAGGCAGCTCCGAAATATCGAGCACCACCACCGCCACCCCCCCAAACACACATCCATCGTTCCACCACCACCCCCGGGCAGCGTTTCAGCGGGGCGGGCAATCGATAGCGGGCAGTCAGCTGGAGTCAACTGCAGTTTTTACCAAATCTATATAATAGCCAGGGAAAGTGTCCCGAAGGTCACCCTCCCTGCCAAGGAACACCCCTCGCTGAAAGAAATCGGCGCAGGCGACAAGACACCATATAACCTACAACTTTTAAAGCCTCGCATCAAACACACCCAGAAGCGAGGATTTATAATTTTGGGGGAGGCAGAGGGGGGACACAATGCACATATATATATTTATATAAAAATATTATTTTTTAACGTTCACATAAAAATCATTATTCGCTCTACTGCATATAAGGATAATCCCCTCCGTTTTTCCAAACGCAAAGAAAAACTGCCCTGTGCCAATCAAAACGTAACTGGAGCACGAACAAAAATCTAACTACCCATCCACATTTATATGTTTAAAGGATTAGACAATTACAAGGGATTGGTTAAGCGGCTGAATAAAGAGAGGCAGAAATACAGCCCGGGCTGCGCTGGATTAGCCCAAATTTTCGAGCCATTATAATGAATTATTTTTAAAACTGTACCGAGCCATTTTCCTCATTATTTCGGTCAATCCCTAGGAACGCGCTGCCCGTAAGGCGATCCCCGGCTGCTCCGGCGTCTATCTCAAGGCAGAGCAGCCGAGGATCACACACAGGAGATGGGATGTGGTACTGCGAGAAACCAGCTCGCCATAACCAGACACTCGGTTTCAACTTAAAGGGCTTCCAACAACCACCGCCGCCGCTTCACGAGACGGGGATAGACACACGTAGATCATTTAAAAAAAAAAAAACAAACAAACAAAAAACAACAACCCAAAAAAAACCACAACACAAAAAAACCCACCAACAACCAAAAAACCAAAACAAATCTCTCTTCGCATGCAAAAGCGCAGAATTAATGAAACCCCTTGAAAATGCAGTTCGGTGACATTATCGCGGCAGCCCCCCGAGCTCCCCGCGTTTCATCTAAAACTAGATTATGATTGTGTCATTTGAGGTCAATACATTTATTCACCGGAGGAATCGCTACACAAATCTGGTTTTATAACCAAACTGGATAGGCTTGCCCGTTAAAAGGGGCCTCTGAAACTCCCCCACCACACCACAGAAAAAAATCAAATTCAGCATCACATTTGTTCCCAAAGCCTTAGAGCTGCAGGATTAGCTATAAACTTGACATTCACTGCCATTTCCTAAAACTGGGAGTCAAAGGATATATGTTATGACCACTTACGTATTTCTTTTGAATTATATTCCTCTTGGGTCTTTCTTTGCTCATTCTGGTATCCAAATTCTGATTGCAAAAGGGGACAATTGCTTCATGAATTAAAGCCGCGACAATTAAAAAAAAAAAAAATAAAAAATACCGAAAAAATCCAGGGGGGAGGGGGTTGTTTGTAGTGGTATCTTGTAATCCGAGTTTCTTTCCTCACAATGTGATTCTCCTAGCAATAAATCCGAGAAATGGGGGACGGAAAGAAAAAAAAAAAAAGACGAATGCGAAGGAAACAAAAAAAAAATCACTTTAGTGAAGCATTATAATGGAAAATATCCCCCAAACACACACACACCAAAAAAAAAAAATAAAAAACGACGCCCTTGATATCCCCTTTTCTCTTTCTCAAGCCGCCTAAGCGATCTGCAGGTCCTTAGTGTCAGAGCTGTAGTTACATCTTGGAGCAGGAGAGGGGCCGGGAGGAGAAGATAAATAATCGGGACGTTGGAAGTCACGTTTGTGCCGCTGCAGCAGGGAAAGCAGCAGGGACAACTCCAGCAGCGGCGGCGGCTCCGGCGGCAGCAGCGGCGGCGGCAGCGAGGGCTGCACGCACCGTGTGTGTCTCCGCTCCTCCAGCTCCCCCCCTAACCAATGAGAACAGCTCTCCGCCAGCAACTTTAAATGGACCTGGCTCTCTCTCTTTTTTTTTTTTTTTTTTTTTTTAATATATATGTCTGCGTGTGTGTGTGCGCGCGCGCGTGTATGTGTGTGTGTATATATATATATAAATAAATATATATATATATATATATATATATATACACGAACACACGCACACACACATACATACATACACGGCTTAGGGCTCGCCCTTCAATTCCCAACCGGGGCAGCAGCCGCAACGCCGCGCTCAGCGCATGCAACAGGCCTCGCTAAACACTCCATGCGGGTCAAGCGTCACGCGCTTCCCTCTCCCACCCCCCACCCCTCCTCCCACCTCCCTTCTTTTGGCATTTTAAGCGCGGCCACCTGGCAGCCAAGGTCGCCGGGAGCTCTCCGCCGCAGCCCCAGCGCGGAGTTTTCCGACGGTCCCTCAGGGCGCACCACGCTCGGTCGCCCTGCCTTACCCCCTCCCCGCCCCGCAGCAGCCTCCTGCCTGCCAAGGGCTCTCCCTTCCGCTCCGTCCGTGCGACGGCCGCGCCTCCCCCGGGCGTGAGCACGCACCGGGGGGCCCGCCGCGCTGGCAGCACCTGGAAGTCACGTTTGGCCGCGCAGGGCCCAAAAATTACCCTTGCTCGCGAGGAAAGTTGTAGTTCCCTCGCCACAAAATGGCGACCGGTGTAGAACTACACCTCCCGGCGTGCCCCGCGCGCCCGCCCGCCGATTGGCTGCTGGACGAGGAACCCCCTTCGCCACGCTCGTCCTTCTCCCCTCCCCCGCCTCTCTTCGTTGGTTTACCCCTCATGCTTGTCTCCCCCCCCCCCCCCCTCCGCGGCGCTCGATGGTAGAGGCTGGGGGGGGGCTCGGGGGGTGGGCGGCACGGCAGGAGGAGGAGGAGGAGGTCGAGGGGGAAGTTTATTGGGAATCGCTGACAGGGAGTGGGGAGGCAGGCAGGCGCCGCGGGAGGCTGCCGGGAGAGCGCGGGGATTAATGTGTCTGGGTTGGGCTGGGAAGTGGCGGCACGAAAACTTTGTGTCTACGGGCTGCGCCCGCCGGGGAGGCGGCGGTCTGGATCTGCCGGACAGGCGGACAGACAGACCGCCGGCTGGACGGAGAGACCGCGTGCCGGGCGGGCGGTGTCAGCTCGGGACAGGATGCCGGGCTCGCCCGGTGTGTCTCTGAGGTGTCCTGAGGTCGCGCCTCCTCTGCCGCCGCCGCCGCCGCCGCGCTGGGGCTGCCCCGCGGGACCCGGCCCGGTGGTCCGGCGCGCCCGAGAATAACCTTTCTGTGCGGATAGATGTGTGCTTTCAAATCCAGCCCCAAGCTCGGCTGTTTTTAAGGAGCAGTGGCCCGTCCGAGCCGAGAGCTGGTGCCGAGGCCGGGGCAGCGCCGCCCTGCCCCGTCCCCGGCGGGATCTGCCACAGGACCCGCCGGGCGGCACCCGGGTACCCGGTGTCAGTGAGAAATCCTGACATTCGATTAAATTAAGGGTTTTTTCCTTAAGTTTAAAAACAAACAAACAAATCAAAAACAAAAACCAAACAAAAACCAAAACAAACAAAAACAAACAAACAAACCAACCCCACAACCACAGTAGGAAACTGGGTGCAAGGTGGAAGGTGCATCTTCAGTGAAAACCCAAGAGTTCTTTAATGGTGGATTTAGCTGTTGGAGGAGGCCCAGAGGAGCGTCACGAACTTGATAAGAGATCTGGAGCACCTCCCGTTCAAAGACAGGCTGAGAAAGTTGGGGCTGTTCAGCCTGGCCAAGAGAAGGTTGCGTGGAGACCTCAAAGCAATCTTCCAGTATCTGAAGAGGACCTACATGGAAACTGGAGAGGGATTCTTTGTCAGGAATTGTAGTTATAGAACGGGGGAAAATGGGTACAAGTCGAAAGAGCGGAGATTTAGGAAATCAGGAAATATTGGGAAGAAATTTTTTACTGTGAGGGTGGTGAGACACTGGAACAGGTTGCCTAGGGAGGTGGATGCCCTACCTCTGGCAGTGTTCAAAGCCAGGTTAGATAAGACCTTGAGCAACCTGGTCTAGTGGGGTGTCCCTGCCCATGGCAGGGGGTTTGAGACTAGATGATCTTTAAGGTCCATTCCAACTCCTTAACATTCTATGATTCTATGATTGCATTTCCTCCAGGGACAGGGAGGGAAGAGAGTCATTGATCTCCCTGGTGAGGTATCAGCATACCCAGCGGCCATTTATGCTTTTCTGTGCAGCTACGGCATAAACTCTTGAGGTGAGGTAACTCTATGCTAATGCTTATATACTTACATACTTCAGTAACACTAGGGACTTCACGCTGTTCCACATGCAGTTTTCATATTCAGATCCTTTCTGGAGAGTATTATCTCTGCTCAGTAGGGGCATAAATTTTTGTGCAGGGCTCTTGAGTGGCAGCGCTCAAACTCAGGAAAGCAGGAGACAGAACTTGCCAGAACCCCACGCACTGGTTCCTAGTCTTCTGTCTTTACTGTGAGGCCATCCTTCCCCTCTTATGTAGCATATTGTTCTCCCTTTACCTTAAAAATATGCAAATCATTTTTAAGACACTAAATAGAAAAAAAAAAAAAGTCATAATTTCTTAGTTTTCACTTCTTCATGCTTACTGCTAATTATTCCAGGACATTTTTCCTAGTCTTGTATAATAAAAAAAAAAAAAGGGGTACAAAATGATCTCTGGGTGCTTGGCCTCATCCAAAATCAAGCTTTTATGTTAATAATACTTGTGACCAAGTTAGTCTTTTACAGCCTTTTCTTTAGGCCACTTGTAGGAAAATATACATTATTTCTAAGTGCAAGTCTGAGGAGAGTATTTTATTCCTTTAAATTGGAAATATGCGCATTTCTTGGACTGTTTACCTTTCTGCTCTCAGTTACTTTTATTAAGGTGTTTATGTAGCATGAAGGTCTAGGACACACTTGGAAGAAAATGCTTTTATCTCAGGTGTTCTTTGACTAGTAATGGTGAATCTGTGATTCTCCAAGAAACATTTTGGAGAGCCCAAAGCAACAAAGATTCATGTATTTCTGGGTCAACAATTGAGCAGAAAGGTTCTTGTAGAAAACCTACCTGGCTTTTCTCAAATAAAACGAGGTAGTAAAACCAACTATTCCCCTCCTTCTTACTTTGGAGATTACTTCCTGAGTGTCCTTAAAGTCTCAGGGTGTTCCTGTGTTTGCTCCTGGCTTTTGTGCCATGTGTTGAACAAGAGCCTACTGTCAGTGCAGACTAATGAATTTTCTTCTTGAGGCCGGGTGGCAGAAACCTTTCCCATAGATCAGAAACCTTTCCCATAGATCTGTGACTCTATTTACCTTTGTGTTCTGTTATACAGAGCGTTGTATTATGCACATGCTGAGTATCAAGTATCCATGGTGGATCTTGCCTTTCAGTTCTAGCTTGTGTGCATTTTGGAGACCGACCTTTTAAATAATCAAGCTGAACTGGTTTAGTGTACTCGTTTACATTTTTAATTAAATCCTGTTACAATAG